GCCCTGATGGCAAGGGGCGGCCACTGGCCCCGTAGGCATGTGAGATGGTATCGACAACCCAGTGGGGCAGCCGCTGGTTAGAGGGCACAACCTCCTTTAGTGCCGCCATGGCAAAATCAAGAGTTGCTCTGACTGCCATATACAGGCAGTAGCCTCGATATACGCCCTTTGGGCACCCACAGGGCACAGCAACTTCGACGTGCCGTTCTCCTGAATGTCAAAGCGTGCCAGCTGGGCAGGCTGATTGAGGTGGGTTTGTGGAAGCACCCTGGGCAGGAATGCCACATTTGCCCAAAGGGCAACACCTGAGAGTCCCACCTTGGGCATGTATCGTTTATGGAGAGGACATGCAACTCCCCAACTCGCTTCCCTGAGGCTATGGCAAGCAGAAATGCTGCCTTCGTGGGCAGCCACCTAAGCCCCACCTGGGCCAGGGGCTCGAAGGGAGGAGATGATAGGACATCCAGCAGCAGGGGCAGGTCCCAAGCCGGGGATGCTGCCGTAAAGCCCCTCTCAGAAAGAGGGACACCGACCTGTGGCACCCCGCCGTGGCGCCGTCGACCCGAATATGTCGGGCAGAATTAGCAGCCACATAAATTCAGAGTGAAGTGAGAACGTCCACTATCTAGAAGGGACTGCTGTCTGGGCAACAGTGTACATGCTGTCCCAAGGAACACGCACATTCTTTCCCCCCAGTTGGGGTAGAAAGTGCGTGAGTGCAAGCTGCACAGCCCGAAGCTCTAGCACGTTGACACGGCGTGCCCCCTCCTGGGCAGACCACTGACCCTGAACGGTCCTGCCCTGCCGCACTGCACCCTGAGAGACATGCAACTATGGTGACGGTCTCCTGGCGGGATGGGATGGTGCTCATGGGCACGCCCATCAGGAGATAGGCCCTGCCCCTCCAGCGTGACAGATAGTGGAGGCAACGCTGCGACACCCTGACTTTCCTGTGCCTTTGCCACTTGGCGTCCAAGTGAAGGCTGTTCAGCCACATCTGCAAGGGGCGCAACGACAGCGGGCCTAAGGGCCCAACAGCTGAGGCAGCCGTCAGTCTGCCCAAGGGCCGGAGGAACTGAAGATAAGGCACCATCTTGCCCGGCCCACGTGGAAGTAGGCATCCCTCAAGTCCACGGTTGCGAACCACTCCCCCTGTGCATGTGCTGTGGTCAGCATATGGAATGGCAGCACCTTCAGGAATCTGTTGATTCCTCTGAGTTCCAAGATCAGGCAAAATCCGTCTACTTTCTTGCTCACGAGAAAGTATGCCGAGTAGAACCCCCTGGGCTAAGCAGAGAGTCTACTGGCTCGATTGCATCCTTGGGCAGAAGGACGGACAACTCTTGGGCTAGAGCTAGGGCCTCTGCTGGATCGCTGACGACTGTCATTTTGGCCCGGCCGAAGGCTAGGGGCCGGAACTGCGGTTCGTACCCCTGGGTTAAGGTGAAAACCACCCAAGGGCCGGAAGTACAGACAGCCCAGTAACTGAGCTGCTGCTGGGAAATCAGCCGACGACCGGCCCCGAGAGACTCGGGGCCTAAACCCCCGGCCTCCGGAGCCCCCTGGGGGGCACCGGTAAGGCTCTGAGGCACGAGGCCGCCTAGAAGGCCGGGGGCACGACGGATGAGTGGGCCACTGGGACCTGCGCAGACCACCACTGTAAGCTGGTGGCTGAGTGCGGCTACTAGAGGGGCCCCTGGGCCTGCTGGGAGTGGGCACAGGCCTATGAAGACCCGAGAGCTGCTGCCTGGTCCGCCTAGCTTGGGCAGAACGCTCCAGTGCCTACAGGGCAGCTGCCCCAAACAGCTCCCCTGGCTCGCCTGAGGACATGTCTCCGACAGTGGTGACTGAGCAGGCCAAACCTGGCGACGAGTCTGCACCAATAAGGACATAACTCGTCCCAATTCCCTAGGCATTAGGGCAAATGCTTACAGTGATGCATCACTGAGGCCCAACAAAGTAGGCTCAGCCGGAGCCTGCTGCAGAGAGGTAGAGACAGCCAGCATCAGATGGGAGAGGGAGTTCCCATGCCGCTGTGTCGTAGGCCTTACAGAGCTGCTCGTCTGTGACCCTGCACTGAGGCCGAGGGCACCTGGCATCAGGAGCCAGAATCGGGGAGGCGATGGCAGGCTCAATGAATGGCAAGCGACCCAGCCCCACCCTCGCCGGATCCTGCATGGCAGCAGAGTGGGAGAGGGCCCTGGTGTCTCTCCAGCATGCATGGAGTTCCCTCAGGTACTCCTCTGAAGGAGGAACAGTGGTAGTGAAAGGGGCAGGGTTATGCCTGAAGAAGGCGCTAGCCTGAGCCGAGTCGGCCTGCGGAACCTGAAGCTGCAAGCGTACCAGGGACCCACGAATAATGGCCGCCATGGCTCTGAGCAGAGGAATGGGAAGCCTCCTCGGGGGTGAGCGGGCCCCCCCCCCCCCCCCTTCATAGAAGAGGTTTAGCCGGAGCCGCTAGCAACATGGCATCCTCAAGCAGAGGTGTGGCAACCGAAGGAGGGCCAGGCGGCAAGCTAGTAGCCCCCACACCGGCCCCTGGCTGAAGGGCCAACAGGAGCGACTTTGTCTGCTCCGTGACGGTAGCTAACCGATCCACCTTAGAGGACAGTCTGTTTCTAGTCCTCTACCTGGGGGGTGAACCCATAGCCATCACTCCATCAAGTCACCGGGAACGGCCAGACTGAGCTGGAGGAAGTTGTGACGAGGAGAGTTGCCACCTCTGCGACTCTAGCCACTCGAGGCATGAAGCTACAGCTCATGCAGGCGCTTTGCGTGAGACCCTCCCTTAAATGCTCAAGGCCAAAGCAGAGGGGGGCAGCGGTCATGGCCGTCCTCGGGCTCAAGAGAAGCCATACAGGCGCTACATGAATGAGCCAGTCTGTAGGTAGCCGGATGCAGCGTTGCCGGGAGTGGGTGCGAGAACACAGCCTTCACCAGCTACCTGCTGAACGGAAAGAGTAGAGCAATGCTCCTACTCACCGAACACAAAGAGGGATGTAACTACACTTACGTTACCGGCAGAAGGAGCGGGAGCGAGAGCACTGCCTTCACCTAGCTGGATTAAATAAAGAAGCTTAACGGGGCAGTTTAGCCAGGCGGCTGCTGCTAAGAATCAAGCAGCACGTCTACCAGGAGCGGGGGCGAGAACACTGCCTTGACTGGATGAGTTAAACAATGAAGCTCAACAGAACACGCCAGATGTTAGCCAAGCGGCTGCTGCTAACAATCAAAACAATACGTTACCGGGAGCGAGAGCACTGCCCTCACCAGCTGAGTTTAAATAAAGAAGCTTTAACAAAACATGCAAGATGTTAGCCAAGCGGCTGCTGCTAACAATCAAGCGAGATCAAGTCAAATAACACAAATGTTTAAGACCAGATAACTAGCTTCCAAAGAAGAGAACAGCACAGAGCCGTAGTTACAACAGTAACCATGGCCAGTGCTTACACGGCATAGAACCGTAGTTACAGTAGTAACTATGACCAGTACTTACACAGCTTAGAACCGTAGTTACAGTAGTAACTATGGCCAGTACTTACACGGCTTAGAACCGTAGTTACAGTAGTAACTATGGCCAGTACTTACACGGCTTAGAACCGTAGTTACAGTAGTAACTATGGCCAGTACTTACACTGCTTAGAACCTTAGTTACAGTAGTAACTATGGCCAGTACTTACACGGCTTAGAACCTTAGTTACAGTAGTAACTATGGCCAGTACTTACACGGCTTAGAACCGTAGTTACAGTAGTAACTATGGCCAGTACTTACACGGCATAGAACCGTAGTTACAGTAGTAACTATGGCCAGTACTTACACGGCTTGGAACCGTAGTTACAGTAGTAACTATGGCCAGTACTTACACGGCTTAGAACCGTAGTTACAGTAGTAACTATGGCCAGTACTTACACGGCATAGAACCGTAGTTACAGTAGTAACTATGGCCAGTACTTACACGGCTTGGAACCGTAGTTACAGTAGTAACCGTGGCCGGTGCTTAAAAGTGTCAGCCAAACGGCTGCACACTAGATAATATAATATTGGTAGGATGAAATCCTCTTCAATGGCCACACATGCAGAGCACACAGCACACACAGTGAAGATTGTTCTCTGCATCTACTCACCCTAGTGCTAGGAGTCTAGTACTAGGAGCAGTAAATACAACGATATAGCGCTACTGCAATCAGAACCATAAGTTACCGGGAGTGGGAGCGAGAGCACTGCCCTCACCGGCTGAGTTAAATAATCAAGCTTAACAGTATATATGTAAAGGGTTAAACCAGTTCATTGTTAAAAAAAAAAAGTTAAATTAACTCCATATTTTTATTCATCACACATTTAGAAAATGAACCATACTATACAAATGTCCACCGTCAATGAAACAGGCCTCCTGCATGAACCCGACCGACCTCAAACCAAAAACACCTTCAGCAGGTGAAGAAGCGTCATGGCGGCCGACACTCACCACTCCTCCTCCGGTTCAGTCACACACTTTAAATTACAGGACCGGCGTCAGCGTCGTCGTACGGGAAACTGCCCAGTGACTCGACTTTTATTTTTACTTTGTAATCTTTTTCGTGGTCACTGTGGTGCAGGTAGGCAGTAGCATGCAGAAACCTTTGGATGCGGCTCTCTGATTGGCTAATTCATTATGTTTGCGCTATGTAAAGAAGGGAGCAGGTTTTTTTTGTTTTTTCCTCTTAGAGTCTGTGTTGTTATTTACAATATGACAAGAAGGAAGTGTGTGTGTTTGAGTCCTACGCGTGGGACGGGACAGGCGAGAGTGTAGACGGGGTTTCCCGCCCTCAACAGGAGGGGTTCAGGAAAAAGTCCTCACCCTCCTCCCCCCTCGGGTTGGATGTTTGTTGTCGGCAACACACTTACAACATGGCCGCCGGTCAGAGGGATCCTCACTTTATTACTCAGACATAAAATTAAAAAAAAGAAATGCTGAAGATAACAAATCAAACTGAGGAGAGCCGGCGGGGGGGGGGGGCGTTCAGGTCAGGTAGCTGTACGTGTCCTTCTCTCCGTCCACTTTCTCCAGGTACTCCTTTTCGATCAGGATGTCGATGCATTTCTTGATGACTGGGACTCTGGGTTTGAATCGAGACAACAGCTGATTCAAACCAGGCCAGAAGCTGCTGGTGCTTCAGGACCTTCCTCATCTTCATGATCCGCACTATGGCCGCCTGGATGAGAATCTTCCGGTCCTCTTCAATGTTCTTGTGGGTCGTCTCCTGCTCCTGTTTCTGCTCCGTCTTCATCGGTACGTTGATGTTCACCCTCAGCTTTTTGATCCATTCTCTCAGCGGCCTTATGAAGGGAATGGCCATGAAGAATCTGTTGGGGGCGAGTCCGAGTTTAGACTTTGGCGTCATGTCGTTCCTGTGACATGGCAGCTTCTCAATAGGAAACCACTCGATGTTCCTGATCTCCTTCCTCGTCCGTGGGTTGAACTTTGTGTCCTGCGACACCCCGGGGATGATGTAGAGCCGAACCACCTGGTCTGTAATCTTCTGCTCGAGGAACACGTCTTTGGAAATAAGATTCTTTATGTCGAAGCCCGTCTCCTCCAGCACTTCTCGCACGGCACAGTCGTGAGGAGCTTCATCCTCATTAACTTTCCCCTTTGGAAAGCCTCTGCCGGACTTAGCGAGGTATCCCTGAACCAGCAGAGCGTTTTCTAGAGATTCATCCAGAATGATGGCTCCAAAAGTAGGCACTCTTGTACTCCTTCTACTGCTCCAGGATCTTCTGGACGTCTTCTCCATTAGGCAGCAGGAACGGACAGTGATGGAACACTGCTTTGGCGAAGTCTCTGATCCCACAGTGAGGAGCTCCGGGAGTGTTCTGCATGCAGAAGTCCAGATAGAACCAGTGGGCGAGCTCGATCTGGAAACACACCCGGATAGCGTTGTCCCTCTCCTCGCTGGGGATGTGCAGGATGAAGCGGCTGCAGAGGTCGTCCAGCATTCCGGTCGGGATCTCCACTCTTTTTGTTTCCATGTTGGAGGAAAACATTGCGATATCTCAGAGCAAACAGGCGCTACAGCCTTAAGAACAGCAGCTCCATCTGCACGTGCACCTCAGGTGAGCCCCAGACCAACATTAGATACACCAAATTACCTAGAAATTTAAAAAATAAGTCTTCTTGCTCCTCCACCGAGAACTGGAGGGATTCTGCTGCGCCTAGCGGCTGCTGCTAACAATCAAGCGACCAAGTCAAAACACAAAATGTTAAGACCAGATAATTAGCTTCTATGGAATAGAACAGCCCGCATAGAACCGTAGGCCATGGTCACAGTAGTAACCATGGCCAGTGCTTACATGGCCTAGGACCGTAGTTACAGTAGTAACTATGACCAGTACTTACCTTACTCTCTGCATCTAAACAAAAAACGGGCAAAATATGCTTTCCATACTAAATTGAACGAGACGCAGCTAAAGCTGGGACTCAAATGCTAATGGTAGCTCGGGCACACCGCCACAAGCAGAACTTTCAAAAGAACATAATAAGGGCAACTTTATGGGAGAGGAAGAGGGAACACTGTCGTCACCAGAAAGTCTAAGCCAAACAATAAATAAGACAGCAATCAGGACAACTTGGCTGGGAGAGGGTGCGGGGACACAGCCATCACCAGCAACAAGTTGACACCAACCTGTCTGTCGAGGCTCTGCACAGCGCACAGCCGGCCACAGCTCCTGGAGGACGCGTTAACAACCCGTAGCTGCACGCGGCCAGCTGCTTGCAGAGAAATCCCTCAGATCAAACGTTCAAACCTGAACGCTGTAGGCTACAAGAATGTAGCCGCGTTACTCTCACGAAGCGAGAAGATGAAAAGGAATCGATCTGCTAATTACGCCGGCCTATGTATCCGTCGTCACGTGGGTCACAGGTGACTTTGTTGTTATTAGGTACTCAAACTGCGAATGCGTGTGATGGATATATCCAGTGCCTCTGGCGGTCAGTAGGGACGAAATAGAACTAGATAGGGCCAAGCTGGCTTGGGTTAACGAGTTGATAACCAGCGTCGTAGGACCGCTTAGTGAGAGCGCATTTGTTTTGGATTAGGTAAACCGGGTAACTCAAACATATCCAGGTTATGTTGAACCGGCTTCGTTGTACAGGCCTCAGGGCTCAGGTTTCATTGTGATGTCAACAAGTGCCAGAATAGAAAAGTTTCAATAGAAAACTACGCTTTACATTTTTGTTTTCTTTAACAGTGAGTACACTTCAATATATGTTTATATAAATATATATATATAGATATATATAATTATATAAATAGAGATAAGATAAAGATACTTTATCTTATGTCATTGTACAAACATACAACAAATGAAATATTGTTATTTTGATATTCAACGTCATTATCATTTTCTGAATATTGTGCAGCCTTAGTTAAAGATGTTTTTTTCACACGCTGATGTTAACTTTCTTACCAGGCAGAAGAACAAGCAGACAACAATAAAGGTTTGTTTTCTTTATTATTTTGTACATATGGATGTTTGTTCTGGAAAAATGTTCCCTGTAGTCACATAGTAGGAGATCATCAATATTTATACTCAATGAGTCTTTTTATTTGTATTCCAGAGCACTTGGAGACTGATGGAAGGACTGTCATCACTGTCATATGAACAAAAATCAATGTTGGTGTTTATATTGTACTTGAAGGAGCTGATTGTGGTCATTATTTGAGCTGAGAAACCCAGTCAGGACCTACTGTAACATTTTGAAAAGCTTCAAGGATCTCAAAGTAAAGTTGTGTTTTTTCATTCCGAAGAGCTGTGTTTGTAGCCCCGCCTTCATGAGAGGACTTCAGTCAATCAAGAGAACATTGAAAAACAAATCATTTGTCATTTGTGACGTTTGATGACAGATTTTTTGTACGAACACACATATGAAAATATTAACGGTAAGCAGTCGGCTGTACTGCACCTGAGACCTTATATACCTCATGTCCGTGCTGACACATCAGGAGAGGTTACAGCAGGTTTTGCCCCTCAGGGAGAGAACTGTAGAGTGTTCCGATTCCCAATGTGTTCCTCAGGCCGGCCCCAGATCTCTTCATAAATATGTTGGGAACTGTTTGATTTCTCCACGCTTCACAAAATCATCTCTTCCTCCGACAGTGGCACACAGTGTTTCCTGTCAAAATGTCCCTCTGTGTCGTCGCAGGCATCACTGCACGCTATTCTGTAAATAGTGTTTATAGGTCATTTTGTAGGTGAATATTTTAATAATAAAAATGTTTAAATGTCTTTTATGGTTTATTTTTGCATTGTGGATACATCTCAGAATGTACACATGGTCTTACAATCAATCAATGAAACTTTATTTGTACAGCACCTTTGACACAGGTGAGCGCGGCTCATAGAGCTGGTGACTGACGAGCCCCAAGAAAACAACAGAACAAATGTTTCAACTATTTGAGTCAAGTGCACGCTAGACAATGAAAATGTAATCAAATTGATTAAATATTATAAAATAATAATAATTGTTATTAATAATATAATTTAATACAATTTACAACAACTAATAACAAATAATACAACAAATAAAGTAAATAATGCCGAAAAAACATAAATCAAAAGCTTGCCTGAATAGACATTCATCAAGTATTTGAGATCAATACATGCTTACAATAGAAATGATGAAATGTAAAAGAAAAAAGGATTTACAAGCTACAATAACAGTAATATAGGTGAAAATAGCTTGGAATAAAACTGTATTAATAAAATAATAGAGCAGAATCAAATTGTTCAACAATACAATACAGGTACAATACAATAAAGAAAGTGAATAAACAATGTAATAAAAATGTCAATACACCATTCTTAATCAAGGACCCTGCTGCACACGTTTTACACTTGGAGCTCAGAGAATCCCAGCTGACAGCTGACTCAGCAGGTTTAGTGCAATTTGGAACAATTCCCAGCCTGGAGCCGAGGAAGAGTCACACTGTCAGGCTGTGAGACTCTGCAGGAGCATTACAGAAACCTTTAGAAACTCAAGGGCTTTAGGGCAGTGTTGCTGTGTTCTCTCCCTGTGGTGACTGACATCATCAACCACTTCCTAACTCTCATAATTGTAATGATTAGAAAAACAACAATAGTTTATCAAAAAGGGGGAAGCAAGTGCTGTTAAACTTAAATCTCAAATTCACTTTGTTTCTTCTCCACTGATTTCTACTTGTGGCTGCATTGACCTTACTTTTAGATTTATGTATCACTTTATACATATGTTTTGAAAATGCTATATGAATAGAATGTTTTATTCTTGTTTGTATTATTATTATTATGAATACTTCCAGAGGTTGCAGCAGGCTCACAGGTAGAGCTCCCTTACAGTAGGTTTATTAATTGACGTCAAACTGGTACACAGTGCGGAGCGTCCACACTACAGCTTCAAAAAAAATCTTGGAGCTGGGCGTGTCTGAAGCTTGGGGATTTTATTCAAGCAACGCGACCAACAACCAATCACATGAATCTCCCGCCCCCGACATACAAAGCAAAAACCCCGGTGATTTTATGGGAGCAATATATATATATATATTATATATATATATATAAACTCCCCAAACAGGCGAAAACCTACCAGTTTCACCCACTGTCTCTGCCACCTCCCTCCATGCCTGGTTCCTCCGGTTTGTATCCCGGTAGGTGAAGAGGGTCTGGTCATACAAAACCGGGTGATTTGCTACGGCGATAATTAGTTTCTCCTCCATCTTTTTTTTAAATATAGAAATGAACGGTGGGATATCTCTCACAGCTTAGACGCGGTTTGATTGGCTACGGCTTGATCTGTCAGATTTTCCGAAACGGGATTTGATTGGCTGGCGCTGGCTACTCCGGCGTCTCCGGAGACGGCGGAGACGGACCGCTATGCTACCCACAATTCAGTTCGGCGAAAAAGCGAGGCAGTGACGTCACCCCATTCAAAGTGAATGGGCAGATTGAAGCTGTCGACGCTGTAGTGTGGACGGGCCGTAATAACACGGACTGGCCAAAGATCAACTCCATCTGGTGAAGCGTGGATCATGGAAGAAACACATGGGCAGATGTGAAAAATGCTTCACCATCTTGATCAGAACAGCGCCGCTGATAACAACTCGCCCACAGTGACAAATACATAGCTTTTAGCATCACCAGACGATCTGACGGGGACCATTCATGAACAGCTCGATGAATCACAATCAGAATTCGTTTACAATTGACAGTGTTACAGCAGAAGTGGCATAGCAGGTACACAATGCAAGCAATAATAAAGAGTGAGCTTACTTTTTAAATATGGAGAAGAAATGTTTTTACATAAAAGTGATTATTGCACAGTACAATTACAAAACAAGTTTAGCAGAAAAAGTGTTTATATTGCATAAGGGAAATGACAAACAAGAAAAACATATAGAACCTCTTGCGTAAGAATAATGTAAATCCCCTAGTCGAGTTCAATGGAGCACTGATGGTGATTTTGAGGCTTCTTGTTACAATACTTGTGTTTTGTAAACGATCTGTCCTTTATACCGAAGTTAAATAGAACTGTATATGCCAGAACTACTGTAAAACTAATATTACTCATCGAGGTGCAGTCTATATTTCAATGTTGTTTGTGTATTCTCCAGACTATTAAGCTTTTCAACAGTCCAGCTTGCATGGTGTGTATTTTAGTTGTATTTTCTTTGTGGCTAGATGGAACAACATTTGGGGTTAAACGTTTTTGTTTACTTGTCAAAAAAGCAATTTTACACCCAGGAACATATAAGGGCGGTCCAGAGGCCCCTGACCTCCCAGCGTTCACAGCACTGAAGGGCCAGGATGATTGAAGACCCCTGCCCTGACCCATGGACCGACACAAACACAAAGCATGCAGAATGCTGCGTTTAACTGCATCTTCCTCTGAAGCTGATGTTGGACTAATGTTGGTTCCTTCAAAGAACCTACAAATGTCGTAGTTTTAAACTTTCCGACTTCACATTAGAGATATAGTCAAGACATTCAATATGTATATTGGAACTGGAATCCCATTTAATGAATGCAATGCATAGAGTGTATTTATCCTAAACGATTGAATGGGATAAGGCACTATTGCTGATGCAAATCCACAAGTGACAACTAAGTAAAAGGTAACAATCGAAACAAACATGTTAGGAAACAATTCCACTGTTTCAATTCGTTGACTAGGCTACTTAATGTAACAAATGTAACTTTGTTTGGTTTGTTAGTTTGTAGAAATATGTCCGACAGCCCCTGAAGGCAGCATTCCACTTCTCTAGCCAGAGCAGAGTCCCCCCCTGCCCCGAGTGAAGGAAAAAGCAACGGGAGGAAAGACCATGGAGGGAGCTGGAAGTGTTAGCTACTTTGAGAAACTTTTTCCTTCTTAAGTTTTCTGCGAAAATCAAAGCGCCTCAATGTGGCGACTTCCGGTGTGTATTTGTGTTCTGGGAACACGTCGTAAACCTTAACATTCAAACATACACCGACATTCTGGCCGCGGACTGTTAGCACAACCCGACCAAAGTTAGCCTGTCTCGGCTAACTTAGCCTGTCTCAGCTAACTTAGCCTGTCTCAGCTAGCAGGAGAGGACAAAAAGGCGAGTGGAAACAGCGAGCTGAAAGTGGCGCCGAGGCGTCAGGGATCCAGTAATGCTGCGGCTCGGGATTAACTTCAGATACGGATGAGAAGCAGATAAACCGAGAACTACTGCGAGCCGGACGACCGCTGCTATGCTGGGGGGGATTCACGGCTCTGGCAGCCCGCCGGAGTCCCGAGGGGGGCCGCACTCGGTGCTGTGGAGGCTCGGGGGCTTCTTCTTCCTCATGCTGCTGGAGGGGGTCGGCGGCCTGGCCAGCCCGAGCGCTGCCTCCGGAGACAACAACAACAACAACAACAGCCCGAGTGTTAACATTTACATGAGTGTTGAGGAGGTGAAGAAGCTTTTGGGTAAGGAGGCCATCTGAATCCAGCTGTGTGTGTGTGTGTGTGTGTGTGTGTGTGTGTGTGTGTGTGTCTGATGCAGTTGTGTCAGTGTGTCCCTCACATCTGCATTTTTACTTCTAAACAGAGGTAGGAGAAGTACTCAGATCTTGTAGTAAAAGTAGAAGTACTCAGATCTTGTAGTAAAAGTAGAAGTACTCAGATCTTGTAGTAAAAGTAGAAGTACTCAGATCTTGTACTTGAGTAAAAGTAGAAGTACCAGAGTGTAGGAATACTCTGTCAAAGTAAAAGTCCTGCATTCAAAATGTTACTCAAGTAAACGTAGAAAAGTATGATCATCAAAATATAGTGAAAGTAGCGACAGTAAAAGTAGTCGTTGTGCAGATTGGTCCATTTCAGAATAATATATATGATATGTTTTATAATGATTGATCATGAAAGTGTTCTCAAAGCTGGTAAAGGTGCAGCTAGTTTGAATGACTTTGTATACTGCAGGGTAGCTTGTGGATTTACTCCAGGTGGAACTAAAGTCTGATTTAACACTTGATTATATTTCACATCATTCATCCAGATCTGTGAAGTAACTAAAGGTATTAATACATGTAGTGGAGTAGAAGTACAAAGTATCAAAACATTGAAATACTCAAGTAAAGTACTTCAAATTGTACTGGAGTAAATCTACTTGGTTACTTTACACCAGTGATTCTAAAACACCAGTGAATTGTAGCACAGCATTACAAGTCCCTGTTATGCTTCAAAGAGCAGTGATATGTTGTAATGTAGTGTTAATGCTAGTCAGTTCTAATAAGGGTGCAAGAAGAGCATCACACGTTGAGCCAGAGAACAGAACCTCTGCTGTAAATCTGTAAAGTGAACTGCAACACATACATGGAAACGTCACCCTTGCTGCTCTAAGTTGCACATTTGTCTTTGGCATATTCTACACATGACAATGATCCATAACAGAAGAACATAGCATATCTAATGTACAATGCCTCGTGACTTGCATGGTAAACATAGGATGAACATTCACCCTTCAATATTGGCATACACAAACAAATTGCAGACAGTCATTTATTTGTATATGGATATTAGCAAGACTAGATGTCATGATGACAAATACTTATTTTCATTTCATATTTCCTCACACTAGAAAGCCAACCATTCCATCATTAGGAAAACAGGCTGGAAGCTTGAGCTGTTGTGATCAACAAAGGGATGCTGATGTGTCACCAGCATTTGTAGAAAGGAGGAAGTGAACACAGCATACATTTAAACCCACCAGCAGAGTGGAATACTGGCTGAGTATCCGTTTAGGTTTGGCTGTGAAGCGCTGCAGGGAGGGCTGCTATAGTAAGCAGGGTTTTTTAAATATGAAAAACACAAGGTCAAATAATATGATGCAGAACTATAACTACTCATCATAGCCATAGCTCTTATACATGTGTTGGTATATAAACAATGTGCTTTACATTGACTTACTATAGCATTTAAAATGCTCTATCATGTATTAATTAGTGATTACATCTGAATAATATATTATTCAATAATATTATATCACTGTAAAAGAAGCAGTTCTGCATATTGAGTACTTTTACTTTCGATACTTTGAATACATTTTGTCGTTAATACCTCTTAAGTAACTTTTTGAATCCAGGACTTTGTAATGGTGTATTTCAGACTGGTCTTGTTGAATGTTAAAACCAAGTGTAATATATTTATAATAGTGTCAATCTCCAGCCAGTCCATGGATTGGTCCTGCACAGTTAATTCAGGCTTTAAGATGTGTTCAAGGTGCAGTTTGGAACTAGTCATTTGCAGCGTGCATGCCACTTTACAGTCTAATGACCGGGTTCAAGTGCTACAACGTCTCTGTGACGGCCCGTCCACACAGCGTCGTGCGTTGAAGCTTCCAACGCTTCTGCCCATTCACTTTGAATGGGGTGACGTCACTTTTCGCCGAACTGCATTTTGGGAAGCGACATGGAGCGTTGCTGGCGTTGCTCGCTTCAAAAGTTGAGCAATGTTCAACTTTTGACGCCTCGGCAGAAGCGTCAGCCAATCGAATCATATGCCAGTACAAGCTCTAGCCAATCAAACCGCTGCTTGTGTGTCAGGGGCGGGAGATTAATGTGATTGGTTGTTGGTCGAATGTCAGACACGCTCGCCGGCAAGCGTCAATGCACACCGCTGTGTGGACGGGGCCGTGAGGGAGGAAGCTGATGTTGCACTTTCTCAAATTGTGCTGCTGTTAATAAATGTATCATCATCGTTGTTGAATCAGCATTTATGTATCAAGCATTAAGTGGAGATTTTGCCACATTTGTTTCGTTTTCAATTCTTCAAGGAGAACGTATAAATGGTGTCCAGGGTTGGAACAGGACGTTTTGTTGGAGAAGTTAGTCCCGCTGTATTATGCAGAGATATTCAATGCTGCCAGCTCAATCATGAGCATCCTATTGGTGCAAACTCACTCATCAAAAAAAATCACTCCCATTTTAAACTTTTTACTGTCCTGTAGTACACATGCTCT